TCTTAAGTTGAGTGATGGTATTTCGCCTTTTCGTTCAGCCACCTCGTAAGTAAATCGACACCGACCTAACGTTTGACTGTTTAATTAGTGCGCCTCGCAGTAGAAATGTCTTAATTCTTCTGCAGAAATGATGAAAGTGGTCGATTGCAGGTACGCATCAATGACGCCACGATCAAGGAGTCCCACTGTTGATTCACCTTTGGCGGCCAAATATGTAAGTTAGAACGTCATCAATAAGTCGTGCTTCCTAATAATAAGCTCAATGTCCTTAATTCTCTAAGTATTTGCTCTGGCATACCTAACCTCAGCTTGTCAACTCTGTGAAACATCAAAAGCTCTTCAACACACATCTTCAACATGTCTGCACGCATTGCTCGATCTTCAATGGCCGTGGGGCCCTCTCTCCCCATCCAGCGAGGTTTCCGCACGACGAGATTACTTCAACACAACGAGAAGGAACCTATTGGACCCAAAGCTACAGAGAAGCCCGAGGCCAAGGGCGGCAAGTGAGTTAACGCTGAGGCAGAAGCTGAAGCTGTAGCTGATGATGAGTAGCGCTCAGATCGTCATGCTGGGAAGTCTTGGTCTCGCAATCGGTGCATTCTTCTTCCTCCTTACGGGGAAACCTGAGAAAGCAAAGGAACAACCTATCGATGTCACGTCAAAGCCACACGAGAGACTCCGGGGTTAGCAGACGTGGACATACAGGGTATAAGATCGATAAGGAACAACATGTCGAGGGTGTAAAATCCAAGCCCAAATAAAAGAGAGAGAATACGAGATACGACAGAGTCTGGGGTTAGCAACGTGGACATGCAGGGTATAATGATCGATGGCGTAAGCGATGATTGAATAAGAAAATAGGTCGTCAATAATAAGCAGAACCTACTACAACTCTACTGCATCGTCTATCAAATCAATGAGGCAGGTCGGCATCTCCGCACCTATCACCGCAGAGCTTATATCCCTGTCAAGCTTCGCCGTAGGATCTAGTTTGCAGCCTCAAAAGAGGCAGCCAAGCCAAAGCTATGCCTCTATTCGTCTGTGATGTGATATACACGTGCGTGTCGCAGTCGACAGACCGCGTAATCAGCACACGACTTCACGTTCAGCCTTCTTAGGCGTTTTTTTGGTGTCTTGCCGCTATCAGCCCTACTACTGGGAATAGTTCCATGGTTATATAGACTGAAGCTTGTCTCCTCAAGTCGATCTGACAATCCCCCACTTCAACACCTTCTTACTACCCCACATACAATGGACGGAGACGGCTTCTCGGTTATTTCACTGACCTCGCTCGGCTCGAGTATTTCTCACCGTGTGTTATCAAGCGCCGAAGAGCTCAATGAATTAAACACTGCGCTTGAAGTCCCCGACGAGCGATTGTCTTCGTTCGCGACGAGGCTGTATCAGCTTCATCAGCATGTGGGAGTTCTCGAGACTGCGCTGAATAGCGCGAGTGCTATCTCGGGTCGGTTGCAGACGACGATAAGTCAGAGTCTGGGATCGTGCGATGTTGTCGCGACGGTGTTGAATAAGCAGGTTATGAGACTGCAGGCTGAGACGCTGCCGTTGATGGATGAGGTGTTTTTGGTGGTTTATAGTGATGCCATTGTTGCGTTTTCACGACTATTTGCGTTCTTTGCAAAGGTGCTGTCGATGTAAGTGCTTCATCTGTTTCACTGTGTGAACGTTTATTTATGATGTCCTAGCAAAGTCCGAGATGATCAAGATTCTGCCCTCGATACCAAGAGTGGAAGGGAGATCTTTGATCATGTTAACAGAGCTTGTCAAAAGGCTTCACAGACAAAGGATATTCTGTTCACTGGATCACAGAACGACTCTTATGCATCGAGTAGTAAAGGACCTCTTCCAGGCGATATCGAACCTCCGCCTTATGAACCAGCACAGCCTTCTTCAGCCCAGTCGCCGGGCTGCCAATCACCAAGCGGATCATCCGGGTTTGCTAAGGGTCTATCTTCTTTGACACACTCATTCAAGGCCATGACAGCTGGCCTCTGGCCCAAGCCCGATCCTTTATCCACAGCCCTTTGCCAAGCTGCTCTGCGCGGTGATGTTCAGCAGATGAGTGGTCTACTCGCACAAGGAGCGAACATCAATGGACGGAATGGAGAGGGCAATTCACCTCTAGGCTGTGCTATCCTGGCTAACCAAGAAGACGCCGTGCGGTTCCTCATCGGTTCTGGTGCCGACACCAACGGCAAAGACATGAAGATCCCGCCGGTCTTTCTGGCTGCATCAGTTGGAAGCATTGGCGTTGCAAAGATGCTCATTGATCAGGGAACATGGAATGTCAACGCTGCCAGCTGGTCTGGACAATCATACTTTGTCGACGTATGCAACAGTGAGAATCTGGAGGGTATTCAGCTTCTTTTGGACAATGGTGCTAAGCCAAACACTACGAACACTTCTGGACGACCGGTTCTTGCACAGGCTGTCAAGAAAGGTAACTTGGAGCTTGTAAGGATGCTGCTTCAACACGGCGCGAATCCAGATACTAGCGATCTCTCGGGTAATTCGCTCTTGTCTATTGCAGCCAGTCAGGACCGTATGGATATGATGAAGCTGCTTCTTGAAAGTGGAACAAACGCAAGTTCAAAGAATCTGAGTGGACTGTCAGTGCTCGCAGACGCTATTGCAAAGAGAAAACTAGACATGGCAGAACTTCTCCTCAAACACGGCGCCAACGCCAGCGCAAAAGATCTCGTCGGCCACCCAATTCTCGTCATCGCCCTGCGCGACAGCAAACTCTCCCAAAACGACAAAGTCCGCGTCGTAAAAATGCTTCTCGACCACGGGGCTTCACCAAACGTATCAGACGGAACATGGGGCGTCGCAGCGGTATGCTTCGCCATGGAGACAGGCAACACGGACCTCGTGAAGATGATGCTCGCGGCTGGCTCCAACACGAAGAAGAAGATGAGCAGCGGCGAGACTCTTTTGTTATACGCTATTGATAACGGGAGAAGGGATCAGGCTAAGCTTCTTCTCGAAGCTGGCGCTGATGCTAATGCGGCGGATAAGAAGGGCAGAACGCCGTTGATGCAGGCTATTTCGAGGAGGGATACGGAGTTGATAAGGGTTCTGAAGGCACATGGCGCTGATATGAATGTCGGAGGGTGTATCTCACCGGCGGAGTTGGCGCAGTCGATGGGTGATCTTGAGATTCTTCAGATATTGGGCTTTGGGTCTTCTTCACAGAGAGGACCAGCTCGAGCGCATTCACCGCCTCCACCTGGATATGATGCAGCGATGGGCAAAGTATAAGAAACATAGTAAATAAGCGGTTGATACCCCTGAATAATAATTAATAGTTCTATTTCCCAAAACGCCGTCTATGTTGCTGTGTTTATTGCTGGTTGAGAATCTCCTTCAACCACCACACATGTATCCTCTCATCCTTTGTCAACTCAGGGTGAAAGCTAGTTCCTAGAATATTCCCTTGTCTAACAGCGACGATATCTCCCGAGTCATCCTTTGTGTTGGCTTGTGATACGCCAGACTTCATCTTATCTACTCGCCCTGGCAACTTGGCCAGGACTTCAACTGGTGGTCGTCCATCATCAGAAGATGCGATAACTTCTTCCACAACGGGTGCGCGGATAAAGACACCAGGGAAGGGTTTGTTGTCGTTTAAGAAGGGGAGATTCATTCCTGACTCGAAACTCTCCATTTGACGACCAAAGTGATTGCGGTGAACGCGGACAGCGAGACCGCCGATGAGCTCTTGACCACCTTTCTTGGTGGCATTTGCCTCGTCCGAGAGGAGGATAAGACCTGCGCAAGTTCCCCAGACTGGCCTCTTCTGGACTCTGATTTATGTTAGTATTTGTATCCTCATATGAGACGGGGGCTGCTTACTTGACGAAATCTCTCAATGGCTCAAGGAGACCAGATTGAGCGGCGACGAAAGAGATAGTGGTGCTCTCGCCGCCAGGAATGATAAGGGCATTGCATTGATCGAGTTCTTCCTTTGTCCGAACTTCAATACAGTGAAATTTCGTCCTGGAAATACCCTCCGTAGAAGAAAGGTACTCTGCGGCCTTTCTTACAAGATCGACATGCTCAGCAAAACCACCCTGAAGGGCCAAGACACCGACCGTAAGACTGATCATTTTGACTTGAAGATCTCACCAACAATGATTTGCCAGAGAATTGTAAGATGATAAAAGACAAGGAGCGATAACGGACAGTTTAAACTCGGAGCCTTTCACCGAAGGCAAAAGAATCTTAGTCACTCGCAAGTGACATCCAAGATAGTAAAGTAAAATGGTTCCCCAGATTCTGGTGATGGGTACCGGAGTGACCCAAAAGGGATAAAGACGTGCATTAGAGGTGCATGAAGGCTGCATGCATGACGGAGCCGCTAGGGCGAGAGTACCTCCGGACTACCCCGATTGTTCTCCGGGCTAAGAAATTAAGTTGAGGAGTGTGGTTGAACTATATTGAGTCAGGTATTTACTAGTATTGGTATTAGAGTCTAGAAAGGCTGAGAGAACAAACAATGAGTGCGGACAATGCAGAGAGAGAAGATGGCTTATCGTGGCAAACTCATGCAAGATAAGAGATGAGTGAGATGAGATGAGACATTATCTACGATCGACCAAATGATTCCATCCATGATATCACAAGAAATCTAGAACAATGCATGCATATCCCCCTCTTTGGATACTCCCCCTTGAGTCCACAAGTACCTTTTTGAGCCTCGTCTTCCCGACAATTGCCGCCTCTAAACATCGGCACATGTCAATGAATCATCCAATTACTGTCGCTGTAGGGCGCGCTTAAAGATGGGCCGGAGCTCGATGCCGGGGTCTTTTTACAGTGGCTATGGCGCATTAGACCTGCATATTCGGAGGCCGCGGCTGCAGTAGAAATAAATTGGTGTCATAGTAGTGAGTTGGACCCTTTTTTTGAGCTCCGCACTCACGGCGCCGTATACCGGGTGCGGAGGCGGAGGCGGAGGGCCGGAGGTACTGTACATGCAGCACAGCACAGTCAGTTTACCTAACAGTCATACTAACTAGGAGAAACTCTAAGATTTGTTCTTGTCAACTTCTTCTTTGAGTAATACCCTTTCTAGTCATTGACTCTGACGGAAAAGACCTATAATTACCCGCTCCCCTCTCTTTTTCTCTCCGATTCTCCAACTCAACCCATACCCTCTACCCCCACTACCTTGTCTTTTCTTCTACTACCCCTTCATATCCTCACCATGACCAACGACTCCTCCAACACTGGTGCCGCCTCAAACGGCGAGGCCAAGTCCTCCTTCACCGTCAAGGCCGGCCTCGCCCAGATGCTCAAGGGCGGCGTCATCATGGACGTCACAAACGCTGAGCAGGCCCGCATCGCCGAAGAAGCCGGCGCCTGCGCCGTCNNGCCGACATCCGCAAAGACGGCGGCGTAGCCCGCATGTCAGACCCCGCCATGATCAAGCAGATCCAAGAAGCCGTCACCATCCCCGTCATGGCCAAGGCTCGCATCGGCCACTTTGTCGAGTGTCAGATCCTCGAGGCTCTTGGTGTTGACTACATCGACGAGTCTGAGGTCCTCACACCCGCTGATGACGAGAGCCACGTTGAGAAGAGCACGTTTGGCGTTCCTTTTGTTTGCGGGTGCAGAAACCTCGGTGAGGCGCTGCGACGAATTGCAGAGGGCGCTGCTATGATCCGTACAAAGGGCGAGGCTGGCACCGGCGATGTCGTCGAGGCCGTGCGACACATGAAGACAGTCAACAAGCAGATCGCCCAAGCCAAGGCCGCGCTCGCAGAGGGCGGCATCATCCGCATCCGCGAACTAGCCCGCGAGCTCGAAGTCGACGCCGAACTCCTCCGCCAGACCGCAGAGCTAGGCCGTCTGCCCGTCGTAAACTTCGCCGCCGGCGGAGTCGCCACGCCCGCTGACGCCGCGCTCATGATGCAGCTCGGCTGCGACGGTGTGTTTGTGGGCAGCGGTATTTTCAAGTCGGGCGACCCTGCGAAGCGGGCCAAGGCCATCGTGCGCGCGACCACACACTACAAGGATGCCAAGGTGCTGGCTGAGACTAGCACGGGGCTTGGCGAGGCTATGGTGGGAATTAACTGCGATAGCATGAAGCCTGAGGAGAAGCTTGCTGGACGAGGATGGTAGAGAGAAAATGGAGGTTTTTTGTTTTTGGCGTTGATGGGGATTCAACATGAAAAAAGAATAGGTCATTGAAAATGAAGATAGTTGAGAAGATCAACTCGGCTGGATACAGTATGCATGGATGGTATAAGCGGGTGTTTCAACACCATAATTGATAACAAATTTCTCCCATTCTTTCTGCTGTAACGAGTACCTTTTGTTCTCGTTGCAAAATGTAAAAAACAAACCGTGCCTGTCTATCTCTATTCTCGTCTGGTCTACGCTGTCTAAGTCGAACCCCATGGTGCTTGGTATATAATGCCATCCAACGATGCCAAAATGCCACCATTTCAAAAATCGCAACTGAAAATACCCCAAATTGTCTGGTATAGCCACCGTGAATAGGCAAAAAAGAACCATATTACCGATCAAATCGAAGGATCAGTATCGCTTCCTCTTGACCTTTCTACCGTCCCCTTCATCTTCACTCTCTTCATTCTGAGGTCTCTTGGCACCCTTGCCACTCAGACGACTCGCAGCATTTCGCTTCTTGTCGTTGCCAGCCTTGTTGTTCTCCTTGCGCTGCGTCTCACATTAGTACTCACTTCATAAAACCATGGTTATATACTTACGACGAGCTCGGCAACTGGGGAGTTGGTGATTCGGGAGAGCCACGATGAGCGTAGAGCTGAGTGAATCAATACCTTGTTGTCCTAGTCAAGTTAGTCAGTTATTGGTTGATAAGTTAAAAGGGATGACTTACTCGAAAAGCGTTCACGAGGCGTTCCTAACGCTCTCCAAAACTAGCGAACTGCTCCCACTGACACTCGGCATTACTCCAAAGCGGAACATAGTTGCGATCCTGCTGCGATAAGATGGCTGAGTCCTATGACCGTGGTTAACAGAGTCCAAATAGATACGTTAGAAGGACTTACGAGAATCTTGGAACTGAGAATCTCAATCTCGATGTTGGACAACTGTCGATGAACGACATTCTTCCATTGCTCGTTCACAGGAGGCATCCTATCCAGAGGAGGTTCAATCTGGTGATCAAGCATATCAGACGGCTCAACAGAAAGTCCAACACTCTTCCGATACGCCTTGATTTCTTCAACCCACTGCACAGCAAGCTTCGATCCCATCTTCGTTCGCCACCCCCTCGGATTCGACCAGTCCACAATAGCCATGAAGAGTTCCTGCACACGAGCGCGATACGCTTCGTTGGTTCGAGGGAATGTGGGATCCATTTCTGGCGGTGTGACTGTTACTTCATGGTGTGCGAGGGAGAGAAAGAGATTGCCTATTTGGCGTGCTTGGACTGGGTTGGTGATGTAGCCCTGATATTCGTGGGTGAAGTGCTGCAGCTCTGAGAGGAGGGACTGCTGCTCTAGAGTGTGGGGGCTGATGTTGGCTGGGTTGGTTGGGATCTTGTGACGGGTTGGTTCGCTGGGGGCAGGGCCTTTGCGAGGCAGTCCTTGAGAGAGGGGTCCGCGAGGTTGAGGTACTGGGAACCCTGGGTGAGATGCTTGCCCAGGGAGAGGTTGATGAAGCTGATTGTTAATAGAGAAGAGTTGCTGCTGAGGGTATTGAGTTCGTCTCATCTGACGTCCGCCAAGGCCAACAGGCTGTCGTACTGCAAAGGGCTGCATTTGCTGAGGCTGCATTTGTTGAAGGGCCGTCTGATCATAGAACGGTTGACTCATGGGAACTGGGTAGGCCTGAGGCTGGTTATCAAGTGGTGGATATGGCTGTGTCTGGAACGACTCGGGCAAGTAGTCCTCAGGATTCATAGGTGAAGAAAACTGAGTCGCGGGTGTGACAGCAGTAGAGACAGGAAGTTGACTATCATCGTCGGCGATAGTACTGCCATTGTTGTTAGGCCCACTCAACTGTGCATCAGACCCTGAAGAAGCTTGAGTCCGAACATTTTCTGCGTTGTAGGCCTCCATGAACTCCTTATCAAAAGGGTTAGAGGCTAGGAGAGCTTCGTTCGGGATTCCATGTTGGGCATGGTTCTGAAAGGCGGAGTTGTTGAGACCTGTGAACATATCTACCTTTGTGTCTTCGTCAACTTCCTCGGTAGTATTGCCATCCATGTGATCATTCAGACGCTGGTCGAAATTACTGTCGGTGATGGAGTCGAGTAGATGTTGAGTGTCTTCATAAGGCATGTCTGCCATATTGGGCGATGAAAACGAGTGAATGAGTCGGGATGAGACCAAAATACTAAGTGGTGGTTAAAGTGAAGGTTGAGTGGGGTGAAGGAGGAAGAATTAGATATCGATGGAAATCTGGATTTATAGTCGCCTGAGAATGGTTGCCCCGTTGATTTGGACTATAATATAAAGAAGATGAGAGACGCTCGTTGCAGTGCTAGGTGCAGGATGGCATGGAGCCCCTTGGAAGCCTCTCTCTAGGCATTATTCCAGAACCTATAAACAAAGCAGACTTTCTATCAAAGAACCAATCAAAACTTAGAGCAAAGAATACCAGTATTTGGGCTCTTTGCCTGTAGAGTCTCGAGTACCTTAGGCTTTGTCACTTCATGAGATAAATGATTGGATTTTGTTGTCCTGACAGGTGGCAGCTTTTTGCGCATGATATAGCGTGCAACTACTGCACCAAGATTCAACTGAAAGACGCTGACAGATTGTGATTTACCTTGGACAATAAAGGAAAAACTGCTGTTGTAGTGTGCGTCTCTTTGTATACTGCAGCTAACAAATGCTTATTGAGGCAGCTAGCTGATGTAGGAGGTCGGATGCAGCAGCATTATTATATTTGAGAGTTACCAAGTTATTGACTGCCACCAGTGACAAGGGCCTGGGTTTTCCTATCGCTCGTTTCAAGCAGTCTTATTGTTCTCTGATTTGGTGTGAACAAACTAGCAGCCCACACAGACTTCAGCCTGTTCAGGAATCAGCTGGGTGATCCTCATTATGGTGATAGCTAAAAGAAAAGAAATAGAACAATGACAGAAAAGCGCTTTGCAGAAGCAAAGGTAGCAAATATTGACACATCTTAAATTGTTAGTGTTGGGGCTTCTAGAGTTAGTCGCTGCAACAGCTGAAAGACGACAGATCGAAAAGGAGAGCAAATATGACAAAATCTAGCCAATGACAATCGAATTTTTATTGACCAAGAAAAAACAGATGTGTTTCCAGCATGCAGGTACCTTTCAGGATAGGTACGCAAAGAAACGGGAGCCTGCATAGTACCTGCATAAGGCAGTTAGTTGTACAAACATCTGAACAAAGCACCCATGCATAAACACACTCAGCCTCTTTTGACTCTCTTTGAGGATTTACAAGTATGATCTGCAAAGCTGTAATACGTGTATTTCTTGGAATGGCTACCGGGGTATGATTACATGGATGAACTTGCAGAAGGTGTTCACGCTCATATGCACTAGGTTCTCTCTGCTGGAATAAGCTCACAGCCACAAATCTCAACTGCAAATAACACTTCTAGCCCACAACTTAGACGCTCATATGCACCATGTACGACCTTTGAGCCATGCTGCCGGGCTTCCAAAAGGACAAGAGAAATTCATAATGGCTTAGACACTCTTTCAGCTGTCTGGAAATCTAGTGTCAAACTCAACGGACAACAACGCTATTGGTCGCAAATAAAACAACATCCAGGCATCCGGCTTATTCCATGAGATTCATCGCTTTCAGGCAGAGGACCAAATAAACATACCACGCTCACCTTTCACACAGACGTTCACCAGATACCACCCAGATATATGACGAGAAGCAAGCCCATCAGTCACCTCTCACTGAAGAGCAACACCATAGTCCTGACATCCACTAAACACCCATCTCCCATCCCTCCTCAGAAGCGTAAACGCATTAACACCGTCATGTTTAGGCACCCCATTAATCTCAACCACAAACGGTGCCCAAACTAATGCAATATCACCATGTTTTCGGACCTGAATATCATGTAACTTCTCTTGAATAGTAATACCACTCTTGATCATACCCTGTAGACGAACGATGGACTGCTCCATAGTCATAGGCGCTGGCTCAGCAGGTGGTCGATATAAAGTCACACCAGCGTTGGGAAGAAACCATTGCTTGAGGACGTCCCAGTCTGGATGGGAGAAGTCGTCTAGAAGAGCGTTGATGGGCTTCATGATCTCTTGGGTAAGATCTCTTTCATCTTCTGGGGTGGGTGTTTCCAAAGAGCGCTCTGTCGAAGCTAGACCTGATACCTTCCAACGTCCATCGGTGTAAGCTAATCCGAGGATGCCCTTCTTGTGACTGATGATTGTACCATCATCGGCGCGGATGGACCAGCCAGTCCAGACCGCAGCGAGCTTCTCGTGAATGAAGATTTCTTGGGGCTCGTCTATAGCCCATTCGAGGTGGCCCTCTTTCTTTGTGTCGTTGAGGAATAGCTCTCCCAGTGTCGTCTGTTCGATAGTATTGGGGGTGGACTGTATGACGTAAGAGGTCTCGAGAAGATGGTTGCCGGCATCTTTGGGGGTTTGGGACGAGATGTTGAAGAAGTCTGTCAGGGCAGATAGAACTGCTACCTTGGTGTCTTGAAAATCGACCATCTTAAGCTGATGTTCTACTAATTATGGAGTTGAATGAATAGATGATTAGAAAGAAGAAATGTCGAAGGAATGCAAAGGTGACAGACTGAGAGCTCTAATAAGCACACTCGATGGACAATAGCGTGCCTGAGCTATCCATCCATTTAGCCTGGTACTCATACTATTCTAGAAATAGGCAAATCTTCGATCAATTCTATTCACGCTCAAATATCAATCTATCATGTATAAATCACAAGGAAGAATAAGCATTAAGCGCCAATTGACCTCCCAAATGAGCATAAAGCACATTCCCACTCGCAATCTTGCCCGTCTTGATCAAATCCATCATGCCCGCCAGACTCTTGCCCTCGTACACAGGATCCGTGATGAACGCCTCCGTAGCAGCGCCAAACTTCATCGCCTCAATGGTCGTCTCATCAGGGATGCCGTAGATCTTGGCGTTGTAGTTGGGGTCCAGAATAACATCGTCCGCTGTGATGTCGTCCTCGCTGAGGCCGATCTTGACAGCTGTGGATTTGGCGATGCGTAGGACTTGGTCGAAGGTTTGCTGTACCTTTCCAGAGGCGTCAATGCCGATGATTTTGCGCGCGGGAGAACCGTTCTTCTTTTGGGCGAGCTTGAAGCCGGCGATCATGCCGGCGAATGTAGAGCCTGTCACGGCGCAGACGATGATGGTGTCGAAGAAGATTCCTAGTTCCTTCTCCTGCGCTTCGACTTCGAATGCCCAGCGTGCGAAACCTAGACCACCGAGGGGATGGTCTGAAGCTCCAGCAGGGATGTAGTATGGCTTGCGACCGTTGCTCTTGAGCTCATCTGTGAGCTTGGCGAGAGTCGTCTTGTGCTCGATACCGAATGTCGACGGGTCAAGTCTCACATCACCGCCCATGAGCCGCGAGAGCTGAATGTTGCCGACCTTTTCGTAGCCGGGGTCTTCCCAGTCAACCCAGTGTTCTTGGACGGTGGCGGCTTTGAGACCGAGTTTTGTGGCGACGGCGGTTACGGCGCGGGTGTGGTTGGACTGGACGCCGCCGATGGAGACGAGGGTATCACAGCCTTGGGCTTGGGCCTCAGCGGCGAGGTATCTGTTTTGGATTAGCTATGCTGTGAGTGAGTTTGTTTAGGAGAGCGACGTACTCTAGCTTTCGGACTTTGTTTCCACCGTAGGCGAGGCCGGAGTTGCAGTCCTCGCGCTTCGCGTAGACATTGACCTTTCCACCGAGAGCAGCGGATATTCTGGGGAGGGGCTGAAGAGGCGATGCGCCGAAGAGAAAGTTCTCTCGGGGGATGCTAGCAAAGGGTTCGGGAAGAGTAACAACAGTCATTTTGTCTCGTCAATACAATACAATGGATATAAGTCTCAAAGGTAATCTACAACCTCAAAGTCCAGGGAATCGTCTCGATAATAAAAACATCTCGACTTGGACCCCTCCGTTGCCGGCATCGCGGGGCACGAATGGCATGGTCCACTCTGCGAGCCAAGACATTGACATTGGGGTTAGTGATTGGGCGACTTGTGTTGTAGGGCGCAAGGGACACGAGGGGTAGAAACATGTCATTTGCTTTTTGGTATGTGTTTCGAGGAGCGAGTCAGTAGGAGACTGTGAAGTCGGTGGTAAATGTAGCTTCCGAGTCGGCGTCGGCGGGGGGAGGCATATCGTGGGTTATCCACCGTGGGGAGATAAGCTAGAGAGGGCGATAGATCGGGAGAGATTCGGGGAACTGTAGGTATAGTGGGTATAGATATACGAATACTAGAGATAGTGATTGGAATTAGTTACTGGTGATTGTTGATACTAGAAATTGCGTTGAGCTGATGGGAGTGGGTAGCCACTTATCCTCGGTCTAACTTACACTAGACGTGCCATGATAGGGGACCAGCTGCATTGTAGGGCGTATATTACATCGCCGTCATGATCGGTATACAGTTCTGATAAAAATTACATCTCGCATTCTTGGTAAAGCTGATTCTTTATCTACTTAGTATACTCTCATTGAGAGTGCGGTACGGCTCTTTGAGGTTTGTCTGTTGGCCCAGGCTTTGAGACATATCATGGTTGTTCCATGACCAACCCATCATGACAAAGACAGCCAGAAGCCCCGGACTTGATGTGAACATTCATCTTAACTCCGTTCTATCATGACATGAACACAAGGCAATCACACATCATACGCAATTCAACGCATCTGAAATGGCTGAGATGTTGTCTTCTGGGAGCATAATCCGAGTCTCTGATTGGCCAAGACGATGTTGGAAGAATGCCAAGACTTTTTCAATTTCCTATTTGGGACAGCTTCAGCGTCACTCAGTCCAGAATCCAACGAAGACCAGGAATTGATATAGCGCCGTAAAATGAGATTGTGGGTATAAAACATGTAGAATATCTCTCTTTATAGTAAATTCAAGCCAAGCAAATAGTTCATCCTCAACCCTTCTGATCGCTGTGTCCTCAATATTCCATATTATCCAACCAGTCTTCTCACCATCATCATCATCATCATCAAAATGCCGTGCCAGAAGAACCAAAAGTCCTCCCCTATGGTCCCCTCAAGAGACATGTCTCCCCTCCCAGACTTCTGGCTCCCCGTCTTCTGGAAGAACCAATTCCGCACCACCATCGAACTCCCCACCAGAGAGAAATATCCCCAAGTCGAAGGCAGCACAGCCATCATCACCGGCTCTAACACAGGTCTCGGTTTCGAAGCTTCAAAGCAGCTCCTCTCTTTAGGTCTATCTCATCTTATAATGGGAGTTCGATCTCTTGAAAAGGGCAAAGTTGCCGCTGAGAAGCTGAGAACCATCGCACCATCCGCTAGGATTGATGTTTGGCAGCTTGATATGCAATCTTATGATTCTGTCCAGGCTTTTGCCAAGAGATGTGACTCTGAGCTTTCTCGCATTGACTTTGTTATTCTCAACGCTGGTCTTTCGCCTAACAACTTCGAACTTGTACCTGGCACAGGTCATGAAGTTGGTATTCAAGTCAACCACCTCAGCACAGCCCTTCTCACAATCCTTCTCATCCCCATCCTCAAGACCAAAACCTCCGGCCACGGCCCACCTCGTCTTACAACAGTGAACTCCCTCACAGCCCATCTCTGCAAATTCCCAAACAAAGATGAACGCCCACTCCTCGCATCCTTCGACGACCCGAAAATCACACCATGGAGTTCCCAAGAACGATACGGTGTATCAAAGCTTCTTAACCAACTCTTTCTCGTAAGACTCTGCGAAAAGGTCAATCCTGATGATGTGATTATCAATATGGTTGATCCAGGCCTTACAAAGGGTACTGGCCTTGGAGGTCATCATGAAATGGGTGGTGTTGCTGGAGCGCTTGCAGGGGCGTTCTTTGCGATTTGTGGAAGGCCTGTTGATAGAGGTGCTGCGAGCTATACTAATGCTGTCTATGGACATGGAAAGGAGTCCCATGGGTGCTTTTTGATGAGTTGTGAGATTGCACCGTAAGTTGATTCTTGATGAATGTGGATTTGGTTTACTAACTTGGTTTTAGGTTGGCGGGATGGTTTTATACACATGGTGATGTCTTGGTTGATCAGGTTTGGAATGAGACACTGGAGGAGTTGGACTTTGCAGGCGTCAAGGGCATTGTTTCTGGCTTATGATTTTCTATCTGTGTTGGATCACTACTGATTTAAGCCAAACGGCGTATAATGGATATCCAAGTCCCCTCTCAGCTTTTTCTTACAGTTATATTCTGCTCTCTTAGACTTGTGAACGACATTATTATCAAGGATGAATAATTAAAGAATTAACATGTCCCATGTCAATAATGTGGCTTGAGATATTCATTTACGTGGTTCATGAGTTGGGCGCTCGGAGTTAATAAGCCCGAAATCCGGGATGACATCGACCGCAAATGTGAGCTGACGCACTCGACCTAATGCTAACTTAACGACCTGTTCACTCCAGGATCTCATTATAATCAACATATTCTGTTTACGGGTTGCATTCTCGCGTCAAGTCATGCTAAAACCGAAACAACAGTCGTCTCGCAGTAAGCTCTCTCCCAGCCAGCTATCACACATTGGCTAACCTAAGTAGACCAAAGCTTCACATTCATCTCCCAGACGCCATTCAAGAAATCCAAAGAGAACCAAAGACTCGTTAGAAGTCGTGCACGCTCTAACTCAGCTCGAAAAGATCAAATCCAGGCCAAATCATGGATCTTAAACCAAAAGGAAACACGCATGACGTTGCAGGTTCCTGATGGAACTATACCAGGTCGCGTGGGGACAAACTTCTCTTTACTTGATTTTCCCGAGCCACTGCAGCCATATATGGAAAATGACATCTTTCAATGTTAGTACTTCTCTCCTATAGTTTATTTCTGAGCTAATATCAAGTAGCATTTCATGGGATGAGAGGATCATTATATCCCCCGGAAATATGCCTCCAAGTCGATGAGATGAAATCATCCTGGACTACAAATCTCCTAGTTGACCAGGTATACTTCCACTCCATAATGTTCTCGGTAGAAGCATACTTTGACATGCTTCTTGGACGAGACTATGGCAGTCTTGCACACTTTCACTTTTTGAAAACGCTCAGGCTTCTTCAGGCAAGAATAAATAATCCTGCAGACCCAACTTCTATTTCAGATGCTACCATCATGGTAGTTGTTATTCTGGGTCTGGCAGCTGAGATGATAGGTGATCGGACAGCGGCTGAAAATCATGCTGCTGGTATGTCGAGGATAGTGGATTTAAGGGGTGGACTTGAGATGTTGAGGTTTGATAATCCCAGATTGCCGGCCAAGGTTTGCAGGTAAGTGCTCATACCCACCTAAACGGGCAATATCTGACATCTGGTAGAGTCGATATTGGCCTAGCCCTTCGCTTCGGCTGCAAGCCTGTATTCTTCAACAAAGACATATCCTGGAATCCATACCTTCCAAGCCAACATTTACTCCGCCATAAAAAGAATCATCCAGATACGAACCACAATATGCAAGCATTTTTAAAAACTCTTGATCCTAGATTATCAAACGTATGGAAAGATCTCGAAGAATTTGCAAAGCTCAGCAACATCGCCAGCCAAACTGGTCGAAAACTTCAACCCAATATTTTTAGCGAAGTCATGGTATCGATTCTCTACCGCCTACTCGCTCTGTCTCCCGAATCACCTTCAGAAAACGCTTTTCGACTCGGAATGATGACGTTCGCTGCAAGTATATTCTTTCGATGGAGGGATATGAAGCAACGACAAGCATATCTGGATGAGTCCTTCAGGGATGCTTTAATGGATTTGAAGAAGGCTGCGACTCGGCCGCCTGATACTGTTCTTCTGTGGCTTCTGGTGATTTGGAGAACAAGCTCTTCTCAAGTTGGCGGCGATGAAGCCATTGAGGAGTGGCTATTGGAAGTCATGGGTGGCTTGGGGATATGTTCATGGCCAGAACTGCACAAGGCCTTGAAGTCTGTTCTCTGGATAGATTGTTTGTTCGATACATCGAGCAAACGAATTCTTGAGCCTATACTAAAGAAGGTTGGTAAAAAGGGCGTAGAGGTTGATTTATGAGCCACTGCTCAGCAAATTCTTGTTGCCGCTTAGGAATCTCATATTGAACTAGTCTTCTATTTGACTCCTTTATTCTCAAGCCACTCTGGCTTCTCAGCTTCATATGTTCCTGAACATGCAGCTTCAACACAACCAGCCAGACTACCAAAGTACATCCCTCTTCCTGTAAGACCCGGCCCATAATGAGCATATTTCCCAGAATTCGTCATAATCGTCTTTGCCGCCGTTGGGATCACAGGCTCGGTTACCATGCACCAGCAAATATCTGTCAGTATCTGCACCCCAAAATCCTCAAGCTGAGCTATTAGACCTGCTTGTTCAGCGAGTTTATACACTGATCGACCGCATGTAACGATAATGGATACACTAGCGGCTTTTCGTCGCCCCCGGCAGAGGTTGGCGAGTTTTCGTATCTCGGTGAGGGAAAAGTGTGGGTTGCCCAGTGAGACAAGATCGATTGGCTGTTTTGCTGGTGCGCTGTTGAGCTTATCCCAGCATAGTCCCAGATCACCCAGCTTGACTTCAACAGAGGTGAATTCAGGGGCAAGCACTGTTTCAAGAGTCGGTGCCTCTGGCGTTATACCAACGATGTGAAACATTGGAGCACTCGATATAGTGGCAAAAGCCGCACCGAAGGCTTTCAGATCGTCTGTCGAGAGACCAAGGTTCTCGAGCCCCGTTATCACAGGAATTCGGCTGGTCGATAAAGTTCCAACGTAGTATCCCAGTAAAGGTGGGAATGAATCGTCAAGACTTGTCGTGTCCTCCAGCCCCACGATCTTCACACAAACGGATGCTAGTCGATTGATGCCGAGATGAGGACCTCCTCTGGGCGCCCTCCCTGTCAATGCAATCGAGATGTCCAGAAAGTCTGGATACTTCATAGTTCGCGCCCCCAAAACACTATTCGCATAGACAACAGCATTCGATTCCGCCCAAGCAATCTGCTCACCAAGTTTAGGCGCACTTTCAAGCTGATAAGGCGCACAGGTAAAGGTTGGTCGTGCTCCCATGTCTGTATACGCTTTTCCAAGTGCATCAGCCGCTTCTCCAAAAGCAGTGTCAACACCGAGTGCTCGCCAGCGCTTTTGATCAACTGATAAAGAGTTGAGTGTCGTTGGAATCCGGACTTTACCGCCCCAGTCGCGGAGTCGTTCTGCTAGGGCGAGAGTTGCAGGACCAGTATAGACGCAGCCGTCGACGTGGACTTGTGTTACATCCATAAGACGTGTTGCGCCAAGAAGATGGGCCATGCGGAGGACGATCCTGATAGCGACGCGTGATGCGTCGCCGTAGTCTCCTCTCAGCAGTTCTTGGTCCAGTGTTGAGAGCTTGATGCCTTCTAGAGCTGGCATTGTCTCAAGAATAAGACCGCTTTCTGTGTCTATCACCGAACCTTTTCGGTGTTTTGACGGTGGCTGAGTGGACACATAACCATCGTCCACAAATATCGTCTGCCCGTTCAGTTGAATGAGATGTCGAAAGTCTTCCTTATCTAGAACCACGACGGGGATAGACTGGTCAAATACTTCTTCTGCAATCATGACGCCAAGAGTAAGAATGTCCTCTCGTCTCTCAAAGATGATTGCCTCTGGAGCTTTGCCGTTAAGCAACAGCTCAAGCATAACACCGCTACCTGTGCATGATCCTCGGCCTCCTGGAATAGCGAGGACAGTGCCTTGGAGATGCTGTCCACTCAATGGATGGTGTCGGTCAATGATCTCACTGGTCTGGGGGTCGACGCCTCCCCAGAAGCTTAGCTCAAGATCACTCGCGAGGAGTTTGGCTGTGGCTTGACCTTGAACATAGGCGGTTCCAGTCCATGAAGCCTCGTCAAGGGACCCCATCTTTTCTTTCAGCAGTGATCGGCTCACTTTAAACGAGAATTACCTGATGATATGGATTAGTTACGCCACGGCTTACAGGCTGATGACATGTTTCCCCTACAAATCTGTCCTGACGTCTCCCAACTCTTAAACACCATGAATAGAACTTACAAAATAGTAGACATGTCTAGGAAGAAGAAGTAATTTTTGTTTTTTGTCAAAGAAAATGTAGATTCGGCCGGAATCTTCGGAATAGAGAAAGTCAAGCACCACTGGTCTTTGAGCCTTGATCCTCAATCTGTTGCAGCAGTGTAATAAGACAGAACAACAGCAGATCCAGCCTCGAATTCCATCAATACTCGAGAAACAAGGATCAATAGGATATGGTCCTAAACAGGAAAGACAGAAATCCTTGTTGTCAGTTGTCGAACTGTGAAAAAAGAACAACTTATCAACCCCGCATTAAGCTTATCTCCAACATCGTGGAACTAGCCGGCTCTGATCGGAAGGACAAGCCGACATAACGGTCCGTGGCCCGATATTTCTTGCGTAACAGGTTGTGCAGGATTGCAAAGCTAGATTGTGTAAATTCGAGCGTTTCGTTCTTCATGACATGAAGCCGATACGAGCCAAGCTTGGTGCGTGAAGGAATCCGTTGAAGGAAGCCGTAATTTTGACCCCGAGATGTTCAAAGGAGAGACCAGGAGTATTTGATAAGAAGGATGGGATAGCCAATCTCTAGCAATAATAAGTTGCCATCAAACATACTTGGTATAACAAGTCTTGCATGTAAGTTCGAAACGGATATAGTCAGTCTAAGGTGTAGGTTAGGTCTATCACCGCAGCGTAATCTTGCAGTTTGCTCGTGTAAGAGAACCAGCAACACTTTTAAGGCTGGTTAGAGCTGGGACAGGCGAAAATATTGTCTTGTATGTAGAACAACCCGAGTAAAAAGCTATTCCAAGGAACAATACAGTGTTCCTGTGACAGTTTGTTCAATGTGGGGTAACCCAGCAGTTTTCATCCGTTTATATACGGGTTTTGTTATTCGCCCGATCGATATTAGACCTTCCAAATAGAGGCATTCCCCGTCCAAGGATCACTATATCATGCCACTATCCTCTCCAAAAGAAGATCCTATCTCTGTTCTTATCTGACCTGACCATCCAGGTACCCCAGACAACACCCCGACATCGGCTACTTGCGTCATTCCGCTCTTCTCCACCAATATCCGAGCTCAATTGAACCCAAGCTCCCCTTCTATTCCCCAACCTCCACCCCAAAAACTTTAAGCTACACAAACAAACCCGTTTTGTTTCCCCACGATGCGCGTCGCAACAGTCGCCAGTTTCCTGGCCTCGGCCTCTTTGGCCATTGCTTTCGATTGGCAGCAGGTCCTTGGAGATTATGACCGAAAGCCTTCCTCCGACGCCATTGCTAGTAACGACGATGCGCCCTCGTACCGATCCGAACTACTGAGCTTGCACAAGTCTCTCATTGAGACATCCTCGGTTTCTGGGACCGAGTATGATGTGGGAGTTTGGCTTGAGGGATATCTTGAGAAGAAGGGATATACTACTTCGCGTCAGGAAGTTGAGCCTTTTGACAACACGCCAGAGGGAAAGCCAAGGTTCAATGTGCTTGCTTGGCGACAAGACGGAAAGAAGACTTTCGATCCCAAGGTCTGCGTGAGCAGCCACATTGATGTCGTTCCACCGCATATACCATATGGAATTGATGATGGCGAGGTTACAAAAGAGACCATGATCACCGGCCGAGGCAGCGTGGACGCCAAGGGTAGCGTCGCTGCTCAAATCACCGCAGTTGAGAACCTTATCGAGCACGGAAAGATCGATCCCCATAAGGTCGTCCTACTATTCGTTGTCGGCGAGGAGGTCAAGGGCGACGGCATGCGCCGTTTCAGTGAGGCCATCGAGAGCAAGGAGCTTCCATACAGCCTAGACGCTGTCATCTTTGGAGAGCCTACAGAGCTCAAGCTTGCTTGTGGACACAAGGGCATGCTGGGCTGCGACGTTACCACAAAGGGCTTCCCCGGCCACAGTGGTTACCCATGGCTCGGCAAGTCAGCCAACGAGCTGATGATCCGAGCCTTCGCTAAGGTGCTCGACACCGACCTTGGCAGCAGTGAGCTGTTTGGCAACACCACTGTCAACATTGGTCGATTCAATGGTGGTGTGGCCGCTAATGTTATTCCTGAGGAGGCCAAGGTTGGACTGGCTGTGCGAGTTGCGAGCGGAAAGCAGGCTGATGGACATGTCATTGTTCATGACAAGATTCAAGCCATCTTTGACGAGGTCGACAAGGATGCTTTCATCTTCGACTGCACCCACGGGTACGGACCTGTGGAAGCAAACTGCGATGTCGATGGTACGTACACCGTTTCAAATTCTTGTGGTAGCGTCGCTAACAGGTTCAGGCTTCGAGAAAATCACCGTCAACTACGGAACCGACATTCCCAACCTCAAGGGTGACCACACGAGGTACCTGTACGGCCCGGGAAACATTCTTGTTGCACATGGCGCGAGGGAGAACTTGACCGTTGCTGATCTTGAAACTGCCGTTGAAGGATACCAAAAGCTGATTCTTCATGCGTTGAAGCAATAAATAGAAACCCAAATTTTCCGCTGCTCTAGTCTAATGGTAGCCCGCTCAAATGAAATATGACATCGTAAAGCTGGTTTATGCACCAGTGATCTTGGCCCAGCGCTCAGGCAGGATCTTGCTAAAGTCAAAGTTGCCATCGGGTCCCTTCTCAATGGCGCCCTTCTCTGTGACCACTGCGTCGATGAGCTCGGCGGGAGTGACGTCGAAGGCAGGGTTCCACACGTTGATTCGCTGATCAGCGGTAGCAACGCGGACCTTGCTGCTCTCATCGACGGTACCATCAGGCTTGATCACAGCTCCTGTGACCTGTGTAAGCTCCTCCTTCTTTCTCTCCTCAATCTTGATACCATCGCCAGTCTCAGTCTCAAGGTCAATGCTGGTTGTGGGAGCAGCGACAATGAACTTGATACCGTGGTGCTTGGCCAGAACAGCAAGTTGGTAAGTACCAATCTTGTTAGCTGTGTCGCCATTGCGAACGACACGGTCAGCACCGACAATGACAGCGGCAATGTTCTTTTCTTGCTTGCGGTTGCGGAAGAGTGAAGCAGCCATGGAGTCAGTGATGAGTGTGCTGGGAATGTTCTCGAAGACAAGCTCAAAGGCAGTGAGTCTGCTTCCTTGGTTGTAAGGTCGAGTCTCTGTGCAGAAAGCGTGCTGGAGAAGATCCTTGGACTGAAGAGTGCGAATTATGCCCAGTGCAGTGCCGTGGCCAGATGTAGCGAGGGAACCAGTATTGCAGTGTGTGAGGACCGAGATCTTCTGGTCAGGAGAAGCACCAGCTTGGGCACGCAGCCACTCAGCTCCATGGTCACCAATGGAAAGGTTGGTCTGGAGATCCTTCTCAAAGATCTTCTCAGCCTCTTCGATGAAAGCTATGATAACCTGCTCCTTGGTAGCAGTGCTTCCAACCGCCCTTATTGTGGACTTGAGCTGGTTAATAGCGTTGGTCAAGTCGACAGCTGTAGGTCGGCTTTCTTTGAGATAGTCGAGAGCTTCCTCGATTTGAGAGATGGTATCTTCAGCGTTTGAAGCTGTGATACTTCCATTGTGGAGTTCAACAGCCAGACCAAGGGCTGCTACGATGGCAATAGCTGGGGCACCTCGCACTCGCATAGTAGCGATGCTGTCAAAGGCCTCTGTTCTGTTGGAGACATCATCGTAGTGAAATTCGTGAGGAAGACGGAGTTGATCGAGGACCTGGAGTTGGCCCCGAGTGTACTTGACAGCCTTGAGAGAAGACATGATAAAGAGTCAAAACGGTTGGAAATGAGAGAAATGAATAAGTTTAACACGCTTATTAGTCGCAATTCCTCGACAAAATGTTGCCCCTCCACGATTCTGCCGCCACCCCGCCGTCAAAATGAAAATAGCGTCATGATACCCAACCAATAACACAACGCACGTGCCCTCACCGCCTGGGACCGGACAAATGCCGCTTCCGGCGCATGAAGGAGGTACCTCTACGTCAACAGGGGTCTCCAATCGTTATCCACTGGAGCTCGTTCGGGACAGCTTTAGCGGTTAACTAAACACCAACTCGATTGAGATCCCATACCTTGACTGTTTACTTGGACAAACAGCAATGACAAGTGCGCATTCAAGCTGTTTGCCATGGAACAGCCATTCTCGACGTCAAAAGTGACTGGTGAGTACTGACCTTCTAATGGCGTTTATTCCCCTGTAAACCTTAAGCCTCCCTTGAGTTGTCCGCTAACACGACACCTTGTCGCAAGTCGAGTACTTCGATCCTCACGATGTTTACAAGCTCCTCGCCCCTGGATTGATTCCCCGCTTACCGTTGCGGAACTTGAACTGGCAATCGCATGCTGGACCTCTACGATCTATCGACACGCTTCACGTTGAGCTTCTTCAGGGGGATGACCCTGGATCAGCTTCTTCTCCTCACACCCTTCGACGATCAGGGAGCACTCTCGACGATGGGTTTCAGCAGCAGAACTTTGGTGGTCGGGCAGCTTCTGCGGATCAAATAGACACGCAGTCTTTGCCTTCGAGGGCAATTGGGAGTCAACGACGACATCAAATTCCTGGTCTGCGACGGACACCGTATCTTAAGGTGCTACTGGTCAGATGCGACGACAATGAAACATACAAGACCTCCGTTCGTGCCGAAATTCGAGAATGGATCAAGACTCAGATACCGTCATCAAGCAACCCGAAACGAAATAGCAAACAAGAGAAGCACGATGCGTTCGATTACTTGATTCTACACGTTGTTCTCCCCAATACAGTAGCGTCGACGCAGCCCAGGACTAGCTCTCGCTCGCAGGAGAATTCAGAAAAGTCAGGCCCGCGATGGCGCACTGGTTCGACACCTCTGCTCGAGAAGCTTCGTACCGACTTTTCTGGCCTTGGGAAAACGGCGCCAGATCGAGTTGCACAGATCAGAATTGGAATCAACGATCTTCCGTACGATCAGCTACCGAGAGTGGTTCCTGCGGTGCCAACGGGATATTCTGAAGATGAGCATGATGCCGAAAACGCCTGGGCGGAGCTCATTGCCAAGTTCAAGAGCCTCATTCTTACCTCATTCGACTTGCGTGTGACACAGTACGAAGAAGATATCAAAGAAAAAGACGGTCAGCGAAGTTTACCAGGATGGAACTTTTGCACTTTCTTCATCCTTAAAGAAGGCTTGGCAAGAGGTTTCGAGAGTGTCGGTCTAGTAGAGGACGCTTTGGTGGGATACGATGAGCTTAGTGTTGGGCTTGACTCTGTTGTGAACGAGCAAGCTGATGAAGGTTCGCCAACGAGACACGGAGGTGCCATGCTCAGCTACACCGAAGATCTTAAGGAGATTGTCAAAAGCGCTCTTGCCAAAGCACCAGGTGGAAACACAGAAGATGAAGAGGCTGTGGATCTTCAGTCGAATGAGACTATCAAGGAGCAATTTGATGAGATACCCATCAGTGCTACTAAGAAGGCCTATAGAGACAAGATCCTCGCTAATGATGTATCGGTATTTGACTTCCGATGTTATATCTTTGCTCGGCAGATGGCACTCCTCTTGCGACTCGGGAATGCCTGGTCATCACGAGATGATCTATTGGACAAGCTGAAGGAGCAACAAGACTCTGTCTTGCACGGAGTCGCACCTCTAGCACCTCCACCAAAGCATACCGAGGAGACGGAAAATCTTGCAAGTCTGGGTGAGATATGTCGAAGGACTTTACAGTTCATTCCAGCAGTATCACAGATTATGCGACGAGACATTTTGACTGCTGTGGCATCTGAAAAGTCTGAGGAAGACGACTCTCCTATCGACCCTAACCTATCAGAAGTCATTGACAATGTGGTCGCATCGTTCGCATTTTCAGTTGCTCAGCAAATCCTTGCACAAACAGCATCAAAATCCCTTCCTATCCCCCCCTCAACTCTTGCTCCCCCTCAAAGTCAAGAACAAAAGTCCTCCATTCCTGAACCCAAGACTATGATGCATCCTGCTCGAACTACATCCCTTCATGTGTCAACAGGTCCAGCGCCTGGGACTCGTCCTCCACTGAGCCCAGGTGTGTTCCCTGGACCGGGCATGCCAAAGATCAACAATGATCAGGAATCACAATTTCTCAAGGCAGGTCTTGAAGATCTCGCCGCTAGACGCGCGGAGCTTTATATGCTGTCACGAAGCATTCTTGATGGCTTGGGTAAGAAGCGAGGGTGGAGTGACGGCTGGAAAGAGGCGCCCATTATTGCAGAAGCTGAGGCAGACTTTGAAGAGATCAGCCTTGATGATCAGCCCGCCGCAGGTGGTACTTCAGAGGAAATACCTCCTTTGGATGCTGGTGTAAACAACAATCTCCTCCAGACTGCCATCGACAACCCAGAGAACTTTTATCGTCTGTATGAGATTCTCACAGACAAAGCTCTTCGACACTATACTGTTGCAAACCATGATCATGCGGTGCAAGCAAGTATGGCAGATCTTGCTGTGCTCAACTTCTATCTCAAAGAGTATAGCACTGCTTCTTCCTATTTCTACCGAGCAACGCCATTCTTCGGCGAGAGCGGTTGGACGTCACTCGAGCTGTCTATGCTTGTCATGTATCTCCACTGTCTTCGAGAGATGAAGTCAAAGGATGACTACGTGCGAGTTGCTCTCAAGCTATTGACCAAGTCTTGTGCAGCTGAAAAGGAAAGACTAGAGCAACGTTCAAAGAGAGTATCGAGGGTTGGTAAGCCCGAGCCTGTAGATGCAATGTCTATGAAGGGCGTTGTGGGTAACTTATTTGACCTAGCTTCGTCATTGTCTTCGCAAGTCAAGGTGCACCTGTCGAACTTCTTTACAAGTATCGAGCTTGCAGGTGCTCCTGAGTATTTTGACAAAGAGGATAAATGCTCCTTGACCATTAACCTGTGGTGTTTATTACCGGACGAGATTAAGTTGGATGGGATAGATGTGCGAGCCACAGCTTCTGAGCCGGGTCCTACTAAGGAGCTGCTTTTCTCGAGGAAGGGAGACATTGTTCTGCAGCCTGGCCAAAACAGCATCACAGTTGAATGCAACGTAAGTTTACTGAATCAAGATCGAAAGACCATGCTAACAACTTCAGTCTGTCATTCCTGGAAAATACAAGATAGATCATCTTGGACTTTTCTCGAGTAATCTCTTCCTTCACTTTGAACGCGACATCAACCAACCACCTCCACAAACTACAGATATCTTCAAGCATCCCGAAGTCGTCATCTTCCATCGAGATGGTGCTCTTGATGTGCATCTTGTGGCAACAAGGCATACCTCCCTAGACAAGAACAACACACTGGACTTCACTCTCAACCCAGGCTGGAACTCAATCAAGAGTTGCGAGATCCGTCTCAGGCCCACTACTGGTGGCCTGCGGATGTTAACTCTTGAAGCCCAAGTTATCGACTCAGACGTGGAATTTGCAAAGAAGCCCGAGGCGGGTGGTATCATCTACTTCAACGAAATCCCGGCTGATTCCAGTGTTACACTACGATTCCCTTACTCGGTTGAGCATGATATCGCTGATGTGTCTGCTAAGGCCGACGTCGCATACACGCTTGAGTCGGGTCAAAAGTACACGTTTGCCAAGTCGATAATCATTCCCATCTCTCTGGCTTTGGGCGTCAACGTGCAAGATGTCTTCAAGCATAATGCACTTTACTCTCGGTTCAACGTGTCGACAGCGAGCCACAGTCCTTTGCGACTATATAGGAGTGAACTGATGCCCTGCGACTTGTTTGAGTCCGAGTTTGGCGTTCCTCCTGCTGATACAACCATGGTGTTTTCGAAACAGCCGGCAACACTACTTTACCGTATCAAAAGGAAGACTAATATTAGGTCAAGTAAACGAGCGGCGAGAACCATGTACTTGAAACTCTACTACAACATTCTACAAACGGAGATCGAGGAGGCACTTGTCAAGTCCATCTTTGATGCTCTGAATGATCCTTCCTTGGCAACTTTCTCGAAACTCATCACGTCGCTAGTTGTGAGAGAAGCCAAGACCTTGCAACCTATTGACCTCGAGCGAGCTGCACTTCTTGGTGCAGTGCCTACTGCGTTCCTGGCTGACGTTCCTTGGGATAAGTACTTTGCTGGCATTGGACGGGTACCGGGAACGCAAGTCGATGCAACGGAGAAAATATCTACTGTTATCAAGGAATGGCAAGCTTCCAATCCTCGGATTACCATTTCAGCAGCGCAGCCTGATAACCCCTGCACACTCCTCATCCCAGTTGAAATACCCTCACTGCCTATCCTGCATACAGCAGATATTGAGCTGCAAACTCCGGTCACGGAATTAATGGATCAGAAACCGGGAGCTGTCCCAACTGTGGCTGTTAACCAGATGCTCCCAGCTACACTGCATCTTAGATGGACGCAGATCTGGGACACTGAGATGCAGTACAAGAAAGACACAGAGTATAGTTATGAAGTTGCTGCGGCAGGAGACACATGGCTTCTCGGTGGCCGTCGGAAAGGTCACTTTGTCATTCCAGGCTCAAAGAAGGACCCTCTATCCTCAACATCCGACACGGAAGCTGAGATTCCACTTATTATGATCCCCCTTCGAGAAGGTTGGCTACCATATCCTGGTATTGAGATCCGAGAGGTCAAAGATGGAGTTGAGAATCAGGCCCAGACTTGTGAAGTTGACTTTAGAAACTTGGGAGAGTCGATACGAGCTGTGGGTGAGAGGAAGGGTGTGACGGTCAGCTTGGATGCGAGTGGGCCTGGAGGAGGACCGTTAGTGTTGGAGAGT